ATAGCACAACTAAGCTCACCTTAGTCTTTCTTTGTCCAGACCTGAAATCAGCCATTTCCTTTAAAGGGCTGTTCCTTTAGTAGGTTATAGCATTCAGAGACTAAGATCTGAATACTAAGTGAGCTCATAGCCACTTAGTGGCTTAGGGGTATTTGTGCTTCTAGGCATTCATAGTAGAAAAAATTAAGAAATGTATACTTGTTTGAGATCACGAATTTACATTAGCATATCCATTTCAAATTTAATATTGCAGGGTTTTCCTTTTCTCCTTAAGTTCTTTGATTTTGTAGTTTTAACCATTTGATTTTGCATTTTTAGCTCTTCTCTCTTATGCTCAAATATCTTGGTTCCTAGTATACTGTTGTTTGCTTTCAAATTGCAATACCAACATAGGCGTTAATAATACAACTACTGAGTGAAACTCAAGATTTCTTTGCAGCTCTTTTTGTCTTAAAAATATCCCATTAAGAGTATACAATCTGAGTACTGTGTCCAAAGTCATATGAATTAATTATTTTTCTGTAGTTATATAGTTATATTACATATTTGATATACAGTTGGATTTATTTGTTTGTTTTCAATTCTAGGGCTTGTTTTGTTTTAATTCGCATTATATTTAACTTTTGAATATGTAATGCATTTATGTGGTTCAAAAATCACATTATAAAATTACAGAATGAAATTATATGCAAAGAAATCTTCCCTAAACCTACCATTTTGTTCACCCATTTCCATTTCTATTAATTTTTTTAGTTTCTGACTTATCCTTTCAGTGTTTGTTTTTTTTGTCAAAAATAAGAAAATTTTGTATATAATTAATACATACTCATGTATGCACTTTATATATATACATATGTGTGTGTGAGTATAACTATGTATATATGTATAAATGTATTTATATGTGTATGTATCTATAATAGTGTGCATGTGTGTGTATGTATGTACATACAGTTCTGCACTTTGCCTTTTTCATTTATGCACTGATATGGGGGATTAATAGAGATCCCCCATATCAGTACATAGAGATTTTCCTTACTCCTTTTTATGAGTGCATAGTATTCTATAGCATGGATTTACCATAGTTTATTCAATCAGTTCTACACTGATGTTTTTAATGTTTGATATCTTTTAGTACTACAAATAATATTGCAATTGATAATCTTGTGAATATTTTGTTTTGTAATGAGTGAATACTTATGTAACCACTACCCAGGATAAGAAATAGACTATTGCTAGCATGCCACAAACCCTCTGTGTTTCCCTTACCAAATGCAGTCCCCCTTTCCTTATATGGTAATCTCTATTCTGTCTTTTATGGTGATCATTTCCTTGCTTTTCTTGAGTTTTATGCCTTAAGCATGCATTACATGCATAAGCCATTAATTTTGTCGATTTTGAACCTTATATAAATGGAATCATAAACAATATACTCTTTTGTGTCTGACTTCTTTTGCCCAAAATTGTATTTGCAAGAATTATCCTTGATGTTGGGTGTAGCTATTATTCATTGATTTGAATTGCTGTATAATATTGCATTGCAGGAATATGCTACAGTTTATTTATCCAGTCTACTATTGAATGACATTTGGGTCATTTCTAGTTTAGAGCTATTGTGTGTGTAATTGTGCTGTAAATAATCCTGTTTATGTCTCTTGGTGCACACATTATTTCAGTTGGATATTGTTTTTTTTCTGTGGGGTGTGCTCCACAGCCAATCTCAACTTTAGTGATACTCTAGAAAGACTCATAAGACTCAACAACAGCTAATACTTATAGATGAGGTTTATTATAGCAAAATATACAAAACAAAAGCTTCTATATGGTCTGCTGGTTGTGAATTCTGTCAGTTTCTCTTTCTGTGAAATATTTTTAGCCCATTTTCTTTGCTAAAGGACATTTTTCCAGGCTGTGTTAGCTATTGCACTCATTCAAAATGGATATTATTCCATTGTTTCCTGACTTCTCTTGTTTCCCTTGAGAAGTCAGCTGGATATGTAATTGCTGCTACTGTGAAAGTAACTGCCTCTTTTCCCCATCTCTGACTGCCTTTAAGACTCTTTCCTTGTCTTTGGTTTTTAGCACTTGTGCCCTGCTGTGTCTGCTGCAGTTGCTCTGTCTTATTTGGAGCTGATTGAGCTTCTTAAGTATGTATGTATTGAAGTTCTTCATCACATTTAATAAATTCTCTGATGTTGCATCTTCTTCCCCATTTACTTTATCCTGTTCTTCTGAGACTCTTAGTGAAACATAAGTTAAACCTTATTATTATATTCTCTATAGCCTATAGTTTATTTTGTATTTTCCATCATTAAATCTCTCTGTCCTTTGTGTGGGCAGAGCTGTTCTCTGAACTGTTTTTCAGTTCACTAATTCTGTCTTTAGCTCTGTCTAATCTGCTCTTAAATCCATCCATTAACTATTGATTTTAGTTATTACATTATTTTAATTTCAGAATTTCATTTTGGTTCTCTTTCTAATCTTCATATTTTTTGTTGTTTCTTGTTCTAAAATTTTTAGTTTTGCTTATCATCTTGAACATATTAACTATAGTTATTTTAAAGTCTGTTGGATAATTCTACTATTTGGAGCCCTTGCAAGTCTTTCATCATTTTATATTGTTTTCGGCTGGTTCCACTGGTTCTTGTTTTTCTTGGCTTCTTTATTTATGTGCCAGATTACATTTGATAGAGTGCCAGACGGTGCATTTGAGAAGAATATTTTTAACTGAGGCTTTAGATGATAATATCTTCTTTTTCTGAGGACTTTTGTTTGCTTCTGCCAGGGACCTGGAACCATTAGCAGGACAGAATAATCTGAATAAGTGTTAAGGATTGATATGTTTCCCTGACCACCCAGTTGACATATACTGAGCTGCAGTGATTTATTTCTGGTTCACCTTGCTTTTAGGATTCAACCCTTTTGACCCCAACTCAAACAAGATTGAGGGATTTAACATGGCTGTTTTGCTTTGGGAGACACATTAATGTTCAGAGACTGAGTTTGTCTTCTTTGCCAGCAATCTTTTTAACACAAGTTCACTACAAGAATCTCAGAAGCCAGTAGCATACAATATAATGTCTCTTAATAAGCCAATAAAGAAATAACATACTTCAAACCAATGACAGATTAATCACACTATTGTTCCAGACAAGGGGATATGAAAGGAATAAAATCCAAATTTAGCTGAAGTCTACATTTTACATCTGGTCCTTGGGAGTGATGACTTAACCAACTGAAAGCTGACATCCAGATGCCAGCATGAAAGTAAAAGCCCCTGTTTCTAGGGAACATGGGCATGATGTTGACTGGCAAGATAATCTTTCTAGGGCTGCTGCACAGCTCTCCCCACTGAAGAGTCCCTTTGCCAAGGCAGGAGCTAATTGCCCCAAGGTCTTAGGAGAGCTATTTTAGATCAGCAAAGAGTTGCCTTGCCAAACTGAACACCCTCTGTGTGTCCTCACAAGCTCCCAGAATTTACAGCCTAAATGCCCCCCTCGCCATAGCTGCTTTTTCATATGCTTTCACTGACAAACCCCCAGGGGAGGGGGAGGGGTCGCCATAAGCACCTGAGCTACAGAGTTCTTATTGGCAAGAACAGATAGATGACACCCTAACACAACTCACTTCATTCCTGTATCAAAACAACTTTACTTCTAAACCAACTCTTTTTGTCTTTGCCATAAGCAAATGGATGAAACAACCTTACTTAAGTCATAAAACGTGGATTTGAAATCATATCAAAGCAGCACACAGCATATAGCCCTCCCTTTGGTGAGCCCTGGCATCCACCTTCTGTCCCCCTGGCCTCATGTGGTGGTCAGAAGGGCTACTCATTTTCTCTGCTAGCTTTTCTGGAATGAGCAGATGCTCCTAGGGTAAAGTAGCTTCAAATGCTGGGCTCACCACCTTGACATTTAACATTTCATCTTCTCCCTCATCATGTCCTAGGAATTGTCACTACCTTATTAAATCTTTAACATATCCAAACAAATCTGTTAAAACAAAAACACTCCTTTTTTTAACCTTATGGGAGAGTAGGTTCAGATTACCCAATGTTCCATTTGCATAAGTAGAAGTTTCTTTCTCAAGTTTTGATAGAATATTTTCTAAAATTGTCAGAAAACTACTCCTTCAAAAAAGCACTTAGCGTAGAAGGACCGCAGGGAGATGAGGTAAATATGTCAAGAGCAGAACCTTATAATGCCATATTCACTATTCCAAAGCATGGAAAAGGGAGGAAAGCATCCAAATTCTTTTTTTGAAGCTAACGTATCATTGATTCTAATCTTTGCCAGAGGGTGAGTGCAGACATGAGCGCGCACACACACCCAAATTCCCAAGATCTTTGGTAGTAACTCGCATCTCCAGGAAAGCCAGTTAATCTTCTTCCTGGTTTGGGCACAATCCCTCTGAAGGTGACGTTTCATACTCTCTCCAGTTTAAAAGAAGTAACACAAGGTATTTATTTAAGAAGATAAACTGGATTATATTTGTGATTGTATAGAAAGGTCGCCACAGGTCCAGTGAAGCTTCCGCCAGTATGCCTAGGGGGGGTGTGCATGTAGGCATTGGTGCCAGACTTGGTTAGATCCATCTCCAGTTGCCCGCCTCTTACTATATCTATTTTTAAAATGGAAAAATGAGTGCTCATGAGGTGGTTGAGGATTTTTTACGAGCAAAAAATGTTCTCAAGAGCCTGTGCTAAACAAATATTAGACATTCCTTTCCCTGGCCATCTGTCTAACTCATAAAATTAAGCGCAGTTCCCAGGTTCCCTGAGGGATAGAGTCTGCAGAAACTTGGGGGTGGGAGTGGGGTGTGGAGTGAGTGTGGGGTGACTTCCAGGGGAGCAGGGTCAAGGCACACCTGTGTGGGTCTGGTAAGTGTCGCAGTGAGGGGGAGGGTGGGGACAGCAATTCTACCAAAAGATCTTTCCCAGCAGGGAGGTGCATTGCTCAGTAAGAAAGGAGTCCTTTGACTGACACTTATTTACATTTCAGGATCATAGGAGAAAAGACAGGAAATGTTGGAAGAGGAATAAATATTGCCGTTGTCAATTGTAAGTTATTAAAAAGTTCCTGTGAAACTTCTCTAAAGGCACCTGGTGGGATTTTCAAAGATACCTTGCGTTTTTTATGATTTTTGCACACAATTGGGTCTAGGTTTATATTTTAATGCGTTGCGAAATTATGTGTTGAATTACTTTTACAGTGCCTCACTTTGCAGATTATTTGTGGTTCCTACAAAAAAAAATACCCTTAAATCAAATATAAATAGACTTAGAAAAACAAGAAAGGATCAGCAGAAGGTAGGGGTAAAGCCAGATCACAGGCCCTGGGGGCCCAGATCGTCCTGGGGTTGCAGTCAGATTCCTGGTGGCCCTGCAGAGGGTAATGGCGCCAGCCAGTTCCCACCTCTGTGATAAAAGATGACTAGGGCCTCAGCAGAAGCAAAGCTCTGGGAGAAACTTCTGTCAGGATTGCTGTGGGGCCTCTAACAGTAAGAATCATGCAGAGGCAGGGTGGGGTGCTCCTGTGGTGAGCCTGGGCCCAGGGACCATGGGCGGGGCTGTAGGAACCCCACGCAAAACCTGCCCAGTCTGATGGTCGGACAGAAAAGCTAACGTAGGAAGCAGAAAGGGCTGAGGTAGGGCTCTGGCCTTTCTGTGAAAGAGGCAGGAGTAGCTGGGAAGACTGCAGGATCAAATCTCACTGGAAGCAGATGGGAAGAAACTTGCAGGGCAGCTGAGGAGCCTGTTTCTGGCCCACATGGGAAGTGCCCCTCTGGGGAGGTGGCCTCTCCTGGGTCAGCACAGAGGTCATGCTTCCTCCAAGGGGACAGAGGAGAAATATGCTGTTTGGGGAGCCATGGTGCCACAAAGAAGCCCTGAGTTCAAGGAACTTTCTCCAAAAAACTGTTTCTTTTATTTCCAGATGTGACTGGGAAAGTGATAGCAACACAATATTTTGACATGTACGAAGGTGGTAAGAAAACTCTTTTCCTATGAAAATTTAAATGGTTTATAAGCACAAAGTATGATGAAAAGAACCACAAACAAAGAATGTCAAACATTCTTACTTTGTCTACTGAAAAATTGCTTGTGGAAGTATTCTAGAATGGCCCTTAGGCGAATGGAGTTCATATAATAAAATTGGAAGGCATCATCTACAAAATGTCTTTTCTCTGATCACACTTGGCCTGGGTCTTTTCCTTCTGTTCCTTCATCAAATAACAGGAAAAAGAAAAACAATTTTTTTAAATCAAATATCTGTAAAAAAACATGGTGAGCATCCAGCCCTGGACGCCCTCATCGCCACTGCATCCATGGTGCCCATCCACCTACAGTGGTCTCCCCACTCTGGGCACTGGCTCTTCACTGCATTTGTCAGGATGTACCAGCCCTTTTTATTTTTATTTAACTCTGAAAGTTATTAAAAACAAGTCTTTATAAAGATACAGAGGAGAGTAATAAGAATGGCTGGGTGCATGGGATGGAAGCTATGCATTTTTACTCTGTAGTTAACTTAAGCATAACTATAAATACCAAGATCCAGTGTAAATAATGAAATTTGAGGTTAACCTTTCTTTTCTTCATGGAAGGCACAGATAGGTCTCTCAGCAAAGACTTACCCCATGCCCAGTGCCCACAGTTCTGTATTTCTGTCTTCTCTCTGCCCCTCCGTTTCCTGGGGCAGCTCTGCCCTAGGATTGTCACACGTAGTTTGGGGCTTCGTTAGTAATTGCAGGCAGCATTCCACCTGCCAAAGTTGTTGCTGGTCCCACGCTGAATTACTAGAGTCTTTATGATCTAATCATGCTGCTCACCTCCGAGGGTTCACCTCCGAGGAACCAGCAACCATGTACTGGCAAAGAGCTAGGGCTCCATGTGTACATCTCGGCGTGAGCTGTGGGGTCAGGCTTCTGAGTGGACACAGACGCTGAGGACAGAGCAACTGCAGCATCTGGGGCAAGAGCCTCAGTAACAGAGAAGATCCTCACACAGATTTGCATTGACCCAACAGACAACTCTGGGGCGATGACAAAGTTTATTCAGAGTGTGCCTCCCAAGTCCCTGCTCTTCATGGTGACCCATGACGATGGCAGCAGCAGGTGAGTGTGGGCGGAGTTGTCACAGCGGTGGGGACAGGGAGGGGAGGCCAGCTGGGTGGAGAGTGCCGGGCCGGTCAGCAGAAGCCTGTAGGAAAGCACACGAATCCAAGGAGCAGGTGCTGCTTTAAGGGAAAGGAACGGGCGCCCTGACAACAGTGTGTTTCTGAGAAAATCACCAGCCAGTGGGGTCCTTAAGGTCTGGAAGCTAAGGGATATTTCCAGGTAGCCAGACAGAGCCCCTGCTGGCCATAATTAGGATAGAAAAGGTAAGCCCAGGGTGGGAGTTAACAGAAATATGAAAAGACACTGAGAATCTTTCTCTATACGTGGAGAAGAGGAAGGGAAAAGAGACACACACGTGCATACTTTCTCTGGGGAGGAGTCAGTGTTTATCCACGTGTGTGCTCTTCTGTGGAAATAGGTGCATCTTCACTGCAAAGTGCAAGAGCCTCCACATGCTCATTTGCTTTGTGAATTTCCAAGATGGGCTCCTGAGCACAGTGTTTCCCAGATTTGTTTGACCTCAGATCCATCTTCCATAGAGCATCTTACCAGACTGAAGTTCTTTGATAGGTACCCTGGAAAACTCAGATTTAACTCATTTAGGAAAATTTGAACATTACATATATATTTTTCTTTTCTGCCTTCCTTCCTTTGCTTACTTGGACCCTTCCCTTGCTTACTTACAAGTCGCACCCTTTTATGAATGGCAGTATTATTTTGGGCTGTTTCTTCTTTTCTTATATTGACTTTTCTGAATATGAAAGGGGCAGCTTTGACCTTTGCTTTCACCTTTACTGACCTTATTTTGTGGTCAGTAAAAATCAAGTTGGCTAAATGGGGGGATGCCATAAAACCCAGGCTTTTCAGGATTGAGAATTACAGCTCAAAACTGAGTCTTAAACAGTCCTGGGTATTGTCACATGTTTCAGTAGGAATTTGATACTCTTAACCAGCATGTGGGCCGTTTTCCTCCATCATACCCCCTAGGAGGGTTTGAGTCGCTAGAAAGCTCTGTCCTAGGACAGGCAGTGTGACGCACCACAGCGGCCATGCAAGGCATTGAGACACTTTCTCTCTTGCCCCCAGACTAAAGGAGGATGCTAAGCAGGCCATACAAGCACTTGGAAGTAAAGAAATCAGAAGCATGAAGTTCAGGTCGAGCTGGGTATTTCTTGCAGCAAAAGGCTTTGAACTTCCTGCTGGAATTCAGAGAGAAAAGGTGAGTGGCTTTTAAACATCTCTTCCCACAGCCGGCTAGCACACTCCGTGCTGCGATCCGAAAGGCTGTGGGTCAGTGGCAGAGCCCTGTCCCCACACGCATTTCCACCACATGCGTGCCTCCCGGGGTGAGGCAGGACAGCTGCTTGGGTCTGAACATTCGCCCCTCTAGTCACAGTTCTGGGCCTGAGATTTCGCCTCCCTAAATGTGGGAAAAATTGCACCTTCCACGCAGTAGCCCCTCCTGAAACCATCCATCATAAGATGTTGGCAAACCCCTCCCATTATGTCCTCATTAGAAAGGCATGTGTCTGAAAATGTAAGCTTCTGCATTCTCTTTAAAAGTAGAACATTCTGAATGGGCTATAGGTTTCCCGTCACACTGCAGCCAGCACAGCCTGTCCCAAGCCTCTGTCCCTGTGCTCTGATCTGGGGCAGCAGCACTCACTTTCCAGGGGCTGGACGATCGCCCAGCTCTGCACAGGAGGCACCAAGCACGCCAGGTAAACGCAGCTTTCACTGTCACTGCAGCCTGAACATGTCACATGGTTATCAGTCCCTCCCATTATGTCCTGTATTTATCAGAGAAAAGTAAACAGTAAAAGAATAAAGCTCAAATGTATTAACTTTGTCACCGGTGAAATTCCAACTGAGGGTTGGCAAAGTGCTACAGGATTTAGAAGCTACTGCTTCCGGGGTGATCCCCCAGACTTGTGAGCACACTGCTTCCCAGAAACCGGGGTTGACACACACAGCTTCCCATGTGGAGGACTCGGCCGCACGGCCAAGGAGCGAGACCTCCTGCTAGTCCTGAGGAGAAAGGCCTCCTTCCTCAAGCAAGAAATTCAAAGAAGGCAGAGATTTGAAGGCATCTAAGGTGTGCAAGGGGTTGCTTCTGCCTTTAGGCCCCGACATCTCTGGTCCCAGTCTCCTCCCTGCCCCGGGTGGTGCAGTGATGGTCTGGAAGGAAGACGGACAGGATCAGGTGGGCAGCTGGGCCTCTCCTTGCCAGCAGGATACCACGTGTAGGAGAAGGGGGTGGGACAAGGTGCAGCCTCAGTGTAGCCGCACATCCAGATGATTTGGGACCAGCTCCACAGGGAAGACCTAGAGCTTCTCTTGATACCCGCTATGGTAGCACGCCGGAGGCACAGAAATCGTCGTTATTTTACCACGCGTCTGAAACAGCACACTTTCTCCCTATAACTGCCCTCACAGCTAGGAAGCCAGTCCTGCAGAGCGAGTCAGGATGTCCCCAGGGCCCTAGCATGGGTCTACTGATGGCTGGGTCTGCACACCAGTGTACAGCTGAGACCTCACGGAGTTGTCCTAACAAGGGAGGCATTCCCTGGACTCTGCCTGGTGGGGCTCTGTGGGCCACCCCTGCCTGGACCCACACAGTGGGGAGATGAGCAGGAAATCACTGAGGGACAGGAGCTCAGTGTCCAGGGTCAGGTTTGCTAGGGACCATGTGTACACAAGCCACTTGGCCTCTCTGGGCTTGTTTTCTACTCTGAGCAATGAAATGACCACTGGGTAATTCTTCAGGGCCCAGCAGCTGTGATGTGGGGATGCAGCCCTTTGACCTGTGGCTTTCCTCGGGCCAACTCTGCAGTAATACAGGGTCACCTTCTCCTCCCCTGGATGATCAGTGCCAGGCTGGCATCTTACAGATCTCCAGGCTTTATCTACCTAGCTGAGTGGTCTTGGGAAAGTTACTTAACCGATCTGTGCTTCAGAATCATCCTCTGCGAGAAGAGGGTAAAGACAATAACTATCACATAAGGGTCCTTGAGGATTGCATTAGAGCAGCAGGTGGGCCTCAGCAGAGAACTGGGCATGGAGTCCTGGAATCCAGAGCAGCTGGACCTTCCCAGTGCTTCCCCTGTCCCTGGGGACCAGTTCACCCCAACCTCCTTGCCCAGCCTGGTTCTCCTTAAACAGCACTGATGCTCAGGTCCTAAGCCAGCCAGCGGAATCGGGAGCTCAAATGGGGCCTGGCCAGGGAGCTCCCAGGCACAGGGAGGGGCGGGCCCACTGCCCACGCACACTCAGACCTCCCCGGCATCATGTTGCACCGTCTCTGCCCTTTCCCCAGCCGTCTGGCCCTGCCTTCCTGCCCTCCTCCACGGACCCCCTCTCCCCGGCCAGGCACTGGGCCGGCCCACCCCACCACTGCCCCAGGTCACTGAACCAGCAAGGTAGGTGGTGAGCCATGGGTCCATGGCTGGCTGGAAGGCTGGCAGGCCAGGGAAGGCTCATGCTCACCAGCACCTGTCATCATTATTGGGGCCGGCGATGCTGTTCCCCTCCAATGGGCAGATGGGTCCAGATTTATCAGAAAAGCTAAGAGTGAGGCTTGAGTCCCTTTTAACTCAAATCTCAACAAACAGGTTCTCTATTAATATTTGGCTAAGACATACAAAGTAAAGCCTCATTTGAATTGCAAAGTAGCAGAGACCCTTGCTTTCCTATTTATAAGAGAGTTTCTGAAATGGGAGAAATCAAGGAAACACAGGGTGTCCAAAGCCCGCCCTGAGTTCAGAGAACCAGGGTGTTTTGAATCAGTGGCTCTAAAGGAATTTCAGCAAAATGCCTGTCTTGCCTACACGTCTCGGTTGAAAGTTACTGTCCCTGTTAGGACAAGAATACAAAGACAAGAGCTGAGCCCAGCAGCAGTGGCAGGAGTCACCCGAGCTGCGGCTTGGAGCACCCAGGATGCCTGCCCCCATGCTGGCGAGGCCTGGGCGAGGCCAGGGCCTCAAGACAGGTCCTGCTAAGAGCTCGAGGGTAGTACTGTTGAGGGAATCGCTTCCGTCTTAATAGTTTGGGTGTTCAGACTTGCATGCTGTGGATTTCCCTACGGGTGGGGTATGACCGAGATTGGAGGGCCTCCTGAGTCCTCGGGTTCTCCCCAGCTGCTGTTCACACCCATTGCCCCTGCTGTCGCCAGAGTCAGCTTTCCAAGCACAGCTTGGGGGTCATTCCCTGCTCAGAAGCCTTTACTAGCCAAACCATTACCTATTGATGTGGACCTTAAAATGTAAGAGACTTTAAAACTGATTCCAATTGTATAATGAAGGAGGAATCTGAGACCCACAAATTGAGAAATAAATGAGAAGTGTGAAGTGAAGGTAAACTGGGTTTGGACTCGGACTCCAGTTATCCCAAGCTGTGTGACCCAAGGGCCATTATTTCATATGCTTCCGTGCCTTCACCCTGACTGTGAGTGGTCAGCCTGCCCTGCTGGTTATATTCAACATGAGGTCATCATTCTCATCACTTTCAGACTGGTCTGTCCTTGGTCCCTGGTGATCTAGAGCCAGAGTTCAAACCCTTCTCTCTGGCCCAGCCAATCCCTTCCTACTCTTAGGTCCATGCTACGCTCAATGTGCCTGCAAAGCCACTACGGTCCTTGTTCTCCTCCACTATCACAGGGCTTTCCCATGCTTGGACGTCTGGGAAAGAGTAGTCTGTTCAATAAAATGTTACTAAGACAACTAGATGTACACACACAAAAGAATGAATGTGGACTCCTACCTCACACAATATATAAAAAGTAAGTCAAAATGGGTCAAATAATTATACATAAGAGCTAGAACTATTAAACATTTAGAGGAAAACATAGGCATAAGTCTTTGTGACCTGAGATTATGCTGTGGTTTCTTAGAGATGACACCAAAAGCATAAACAGCAAAAGAGAGTGAAATGATAACCCACAGAATGGGAGAAAATATTTGCAACTAAAAAACTTGTAGCCAGATATATGAAGAGTTCTTACAACTCATAAAAAAAAAACAACTAAGTCCATTTTAAAATGGGCAAAGGATCTAAACAGACATTTCTTCTAAGAAGATATACAGGTGGCTAATAAGCACCTGAAAATATGCCATCAGGAAAATACAAGTAAAAACCACAATGAGATACGACCTCACACTCACTAGGATGACTGTAATTACAGGACATAATCAGAAATATTGATGAGCTTGTGGAGAAATCAGAGCCCTTGCACCACTGAAGCAAATGTAATAACAGAGCTGCTGTGGGTAACATTTTGGCAGTTCCTCCAAAGTTAGCCATACAGTTCCCAGATAACCTAGCAGTTGCACTCACAGACAAACAGCCAAGAGAATGAAAACATGCTCACAGAAAAGCATGCATTAAACGTACACAGCAGCATTACTCTTAACAGGCAAGTAGGGGAAACAATCCAAATGTCTGAATAATGGATAAAAAAAGTATGAATAAAAAATAGTATACCATACACTGGAATATTATTCAGCCATATAAAGAAATGACATACTGATGACTCTACAACAAAGATGAACCTTGAAAATATGCAAACACAAAACATCATATATTGTATAATCCCATTTATATGAAATTT